GGGTGTTCCCAAAGGTGAGACAAATTTTGAGACCACCTCTTTTTTGTACAAAGAAATAGAAAATAGCGAAGGGAACAAATCCTTTAACGGTGTGTCTCCTACCCAAWTATCCTCYMAAAAATRGACARAGTTGCYAGAACAAACTTCATACCTGATAAAATTGAGGAATTGAGGAAGGGTGTTGTGAATAGGGGGTACCCTTTATTCATAATGAAGGCTCTTTCAGAAAATAAAAGGCCTAAGGTAATGCATTTTTGTTGTTGTTTTGGGGAGGCTCCACTTTTAAGTATGTTCTTCTAAAAAGGCATGCCTAAATGACTGCTCTTTTCACAAAATAACCATTTTTATTTCAAACCATTCTTGAATTTATGCTGCCATATTAGATTATTGTGATTACCTGATGTGAATCTGTTAATGTCAAAGTCTACAAAAACATATAGGAACACAAAATTAAGGTCGTTTTTATGAGTAAACAAAGCTATTCATTAATGGTTAAAATATAGTGAAGGTTTATTAGTTGCTATATGAATATAACACGTCACTTATTGGTTTTGAAGCTAATACCCAACTCCCTTGGCATGCCAATTTTAATATCTAGGTTTTAGCAATTCCCAGGATGTAATTAGAAAAGAAACCTTGTTGAAACTGTGGCTGAGAGTGGCCATGTTGGATCTTTTGTTAGGGCAAATATCTTACTTTTCTTCTTCTTCTCAAAGTGGTAGTCAAGATGCAAGGGGTAATTTTTCTAGCTTTTTGATCTTTTAAAACTCCCTGTCTTTCTTCTTACTGGCTGCAGGAAAAAATAAACCGATTCCTTGCATATAAGAGAGCTGGGAAAAGCTTCAATGCAGAAGTTCGCAATAGGAAGGATTATCGTAATCCTGACTTCTTGCTGCATGCAGTGAGGTATCAAGATATAGATCAGATAGGATCTTGCTTCAGTAAAGATGTGTTTGACCCTCATGGATATGACAAAAGCGACTACTATGATGAAATAGGTCATTAACAATTTCTCCTACACTTTTCTTTTCATGTTTATTTTTTCAGACATATCCTACATCTTTTATGCATTTCTTTAGTATTTCTCAGGTGGGCTTTTGACTTAAGTTAACATGTTATTGTCACCAAATAGTGCAAGCTCTCAAACTAAATTCATTAAGGCAAGTGATTTCATCTTAAATAGGTTGTCAATATATCCATGAAATCAAAAAGTGGTATATGTGAGGATCTGGGGGTAGAAGCACTAAGTAGGTGCTTTACAATTATCCCCTGCAGTTGAAATTTCTTAAGAAACCTTACAGTTTTGGATACATCTAAGAAAACCCAATAAATAGTATAGAATAGAATGGGTATATCATGGATTTAAAGCGTGACTTTCTGGGATTATTTTAGAGTCTTTGGGAGTAGTTTTATTGATATTAGGGATTCTCTTCTAAGTGTACAAATAGGCCTGTCATATTTAGAAAAGAATAGAGTGGATACAGTGATTTAAAAAGCATGCCTAGGTGCATAGGCAAGGTGCATTTTAGGGTATGTGCCTCACCTAGGTCGCAGGCGCAGCACTTTCAAAAGGTATGCGCCTTGCACTTCAGCCTAGGCACGCGCCTTTTGAAAATTTGCGTGTTTTTCTATTTTTTTATGCCTATCAGCTGGGACTGGAGCGGAGAGAACCCCATCTTTGCTAATATTGTTCATTCATTCATCCTAATAAAAGATATTTTTAAAAGACAATTAAAATTATAAAATTATTTTTATAGGTATAAGAATGTAAGACCCTAATATGGACTTGTTTGGGTTTGCCTAAGGGGCTTGGTACAAATGTGGCTTGTAAAATCAGGAATGCATAATGTTTAACATCATATTAGTTATTTGAAGTATTGCAATTGGAGGGAAAATAAAGAGATTGAGAGTTCTACATGCTTGAATATGTTTTATATGTTGTGCTTGATTTTTTTGAATTTTCATTTTAAATATGTTTTACATGTTATGCTTATGTATTTCAATTTGAGATAATAGGTTTTTAAAACATTTATTTTTTTATGAATGTTTTTAAAACATTTATTTTAAATTTTAAGTATATTTTTAATTAATGTTATGTTTAATATTTTATTTTTTCATTTTTGCGCCTTGCTTTTAAAAGGCACATGCCTCTTGCCTCAGGCACAGAATGCCCCTTGTGCTTAGTGGATATCTTCTCATAGTAAAGTCAATTGAATTATAAAAGAAAAGCAAAAGTATCAAGAAGTATGGAGGCTCTGTAACCCAGCAAAGCAATAGAAAGTAAGGAAGGGGGAAATCAACAAAGGGGAAATAATGACGGAAAACTGTCCACCCTTTGGCAGTTGTTTCTGCACATTCTAGCCCCTTCTTGCTAATACAGTCCCAGTGTAACTGTGTATCCTAACCCTGTATAATTCATCTTTTATCAGCTAGAGATTAGAGCACCATATTGACCTGGTATTCGGGTGTTTCTCGATCACATTCCATCTTTGCAATCAGGTTCCAACAGAAGTCCAAAAAATGGAAGGACAATTAGAGAGCTTGGTTTGGTGCCTTTAACCTCATGCTCTGAAACCATTCGAAGTGGCATTTCACATGATTTAGCATCAACTTATGCATAGAGCTTATTCTTATTGATGAAACATCTCACAAAATGAGTTCCACCTGACTTTATATTTGTCTTTCATAAACAGAAGCTGATATGAAATGTGGAATGGAGAGGAAGGAGCAAGAAAGGAAGAAGAGTCAAAAAGTCGAATTTGTTGCTGGAGGTACACAACCTGGAACAGTTGCTGCAGCACCAAAAGTTAATATGATTCCAGGTCCTCTCTCCCTCCCCATCCCCCTTTGTTAGTGTCCTTTTTTCCTCTTTTTGATGTTTGTCAATTGTAATTTCTTGAAACCATGGAGCCACAAGTCACTCCTTAGCAAATTGTCATCATTTGCAGGTGTTTCAACTATTGCCTCTAGTGGATTGCATTCACTTCCACCTGCTTCAGATGCCATGACAAAGGACAGCAGGCCTAATAAAAAATCAAAATGGGACAAGGTCTTATATGAAAAAGTACCTAGTTTTTTCCCTAATAAAACCAAAATGGAAATCAATATATCCACACATTCTAATTGGTTTACTTGTGTTTTAGGTTGATGGTGATAGAAGACCAGATCCTGTATCTACAGCTGGGACTCATGCAGCACTGTTATCTGCTGCTAATGTGGGTGCTGGATATACTGCTTTTGCGTGAGTTTCTCCTCTTACTATGTCATTCCTGAACCTTCTTTATTTGCTATTCAGAATATATGCATGTATAAAATACTCAAGTCTACGTGATAAATGGTTCAAAGTTTAGGTCATTTCAAACTGAACAAGTTGGTGGTATCTTCACCCCAAACCATGTTAGGGATATAGTTGCTATGTGAGGTGTCTCTGATTTCTGCTTTTAACATGTCTCCTTATCCCTCTTATGGGATTGATCTAAACTCTAGTTTTTGAAGAGAGAATTACAAGTTTTCTCGAGATTGAATCAATTTTGTAGTCAGGTCTCTTTAGTTTGCTAGAATTGCAGTGTCACCACCAACCTGCATAATTGAGCATTACTAGTATTACTTTTAAGGTCTGTCGGTTGCTGAAAATGGACAAGAGAAAGGGGGAATTTCTACAAATGCCATTTTCCAGTGTTTGTTTTGCAGCAGGAGAGGGGAAATGCTATGATTTCAAATCCCAAAATGAGAGATGCGGGCCCTCACTAAATTAGTCTGAACTCAATGAGAATTAAAAACAAGCAGTTAAGTGAGAGAAAGTATTTTTCTCATTCACATGACCAATGTTTTCAACCCTTTTTCGCTCTGCCAGTCAGACTGGTGACCTGATGATCCAGTTACAACTCTGCATCTGGTTAACATATAACCTGCAAGATTGCAAAAAACTGTTGACTTGGTTAATGACCCATTTACCCAGATGGTTGAACTACTGACTGACCTGTTGGACCTGTTTACTAGGTCATTGGTAGGTATTACCATCAGAGTGGCCAAGCTTTTGGGCCTATGACTTTAAGTATAAAATATTAAATTATATAATATTTTATAGTATATGACATAATAAAAAGACCATTGCCCAACGTTTGGTGCCAGCAATATAGGGTCATGGGAGGGGTATACTGGATACAGACCTAACCTTTAGCTTTTTTTTTTTTTGCACAAAGTGGCCAATTTCAGACTTGGACCCACATTCTCATGCTTGCTAGCTCAAGATTATACCATTACTCCCAGTAGTGGCCCCTATATCATGTCACATATAATATATCTATAAAATTAATGCTATTCTTTATAATAATATAAAATATCATATACAGTATGTACTACATGTTTCATATTATAATGTTCATATATAAATAATATGGTGTAGTGGCGGAGCCAGGAAAATTTTCTTTTCTAGTGGTCATACTTAAAAATGACACTAGAGAGGGAAAACATGATTTGGGGTTTTTTATTCTTTCTTTGTCTTCTTTTAGTTATCATTTAATGACCAAAATACCTCTACTCCTTTCATTTATTTGGCATTTCAAAATGTAGAAAAGTTTCTTTTTTTATTATTATTTTTACATTTTCAACTGCCCAAATCATAGCTTAATTAGTCTAATAGTGCAAGGGTCCATTTGGTTCTCGGGAATAGGGGTCTGGAATCGAAATCAGAATGGTCCATTCCGATTGCAGTTGTTTTGGTTTCGGAATCGGGATCTCATTCCCATTCCTGGTGGAATAGTATTCCCCCATTTGAGGGAATGGCCATTCCTTCCCCCTCTGGGAATGAGAATCCATTCCAGCCGATTCTGATTCTGATTCCAATTCCAGCCTGAACCAAACAAGCGGCAGGAATAGACCATTCCTATTCCGATTCCGATTCCAAAGGACTTCAATTCCAATTCCGTTTCCGATTCTGACTGTGAACCAAACAGCCCTAAATAAAATGTCCAAATTGACACCCCCACCCTCTTATATTTTCTAACCTTACCGGGGTCAATATGGGAAAATGGGCTGAAATCATACATATAATTCATGCCTTTTGAACTTCAATGGGGTCTGTTGACCCCACTGAAATACACGTAGCTCTGCCCCTGACACAGTATATATGTATATAATATAAATATATTGCAGGTTGGATCAGGCGAGGCCTCTGGGCTAGGTTATAAATGATCACCCCTAGTCACCAGGTTTTATATTAATTTTATAAGTACCCTGTACTTTGGGGGTAGTGACACTTAAGGGCCTGAACTTTTAAGTGTAACACTTTAGTATCCTGAACTTTCTGCAATATACACTCAAGTCCAGCACAGTTAAGAAATGTTTATGTGAGTGCTAAAATTACCAAAATGCTCACTATCTTTCAATTTATTTAAGATCAGTGCCACAGTTTTGGGAAAAAAATATAAACAGATTGGTGAAACAATTTAGGAGGGTGTAATGATTGTACTGAGATTGGAAACACAACTCTAAAGACAATAAAACAGGCTGGCTAATATCAGTTTTCAATAATCTGATTGGATTTGGATGTAACTGGAATTTGGATCAGATCTGAACTGACTCAATTATAGCCCTAGGCATCATGGACTAACCTATTAACTCTAAAGACTGAACCAGTGACCTGTCTACCTAAAGAGAAAACCGGTTTAACCTCTGGGTTAGTTTTTGAAACATCACACATGACCAAGGCAAATACCCATGTGGCAAATTTGACATGACAGATGGCACATGGCTCCTCAATTCTGCCACAGCAGCTGTTTGAAGGGTGCAACTGCCATCTATATGTTATTCAACATACCAATTGATGAGCAAAATGTGGGCCAAGTTATATTCCCGATGTAATTTTTTAAGCAACCAAATACTGGAAAATGAAACTTTTCATATATTTATTCTCAGAAACCAAACACAAGAAGGAAAAATAAAAAAAAAATAATAATAAATAAATAAATAAATTTCTCATCCGTTCCTTTCCTGGACCAACCAACTAACCATATTACTTAAGTCAAAAGCAATAGGTATTTCCAATCATTATCAAAGCCTCATCCCATCTATATGGAGTCGGCTACATTAACCCTGTTTTTCCAGTCTGTTCTGTTTAATGCCATGTCCATTGTTAAATAATTGGTGCTTAAAACATTTGTTACTACTTCCACTCATGTCCTTTTTGGTCTACCCCTTGCCCTTTGAGGCCCTTCATCTCATAACAAATTATTTCTTCTTACAGGTACTGTTGATGATCTTCTATCTACATGACCGGGGGCGGAGCCAAATATATTGGTACTGCTTAAAACCATGATTACTTAGTGGAGGCTGGGTTAAAAACATGATCAAGTGGGTTCTTCCCCCCTCCAAAATTTGAACTAAAATTGTAGAGGATCACTTGCTAAGGCTCCTCAAACTCTCAAAATTGAAATAAATATTATTTATTTTTTCTTTAAAAAAATCTGTAATAAACCCAAGCCTTCTTAAGCCATTTTTCCCCAAACCTACTTCTTCTCCTCCCTATCTCATTTTCTTGTTTAACTCCCCCCCCCCCCCCCAAAAGAAAATTCCTGGCTCCGCCACTGTACATGACCAAACCATTTTAGTCTACTTTCTTTCATTTTATCACCTATTGGAGCTACTCCTAAGCTCCTATGAATGAGCTTATTTCTAATCATATCCCTTCTAGTTTTTCCACTCATTCATCTCAGCATACGCATTCCTGCTAGTCATTTTTTGGACATGTTGTTTCTTGATTGCCCAGCATGGCTGGCCTTACAACTGCTTTATAGAATTTTACTTTTAATCTAAGTGGTATTTGCCTATAGATAAAACTCCATATGCACCTTTGCATTTTGCTCATCCTGCTCTAATTCTACTGGTGACATCCTCCTCAATCTTACTCTTGTTATGAATTATTGAACCATGATACTGAAAGATGTCACATTATGGTATTTCTGATCTTATATAACATTGTTGCCACTGCAGAACAGTTTGTCGACCATCCCTATATACCAAACAAAAAAGTTTTTTGCATTGATACTAACCTTTAGAGTGTTCACTTGGTTGAACTAAGCTGTTGGTTTGAATCTGCAACATTTAATACTTTGAAGATCTTGCTAATGGTTTATCTGCAAAACAGTTGAAAATAGAACTTCAGTTATCCGTTAAAAAAAATCCAAAATGCATGTCTATTCAAAACTTCCGGATAGTCAAGAGATGAAATTTGATGTTGCTAATGCGAGAGTAACTGAAGGAGTAAAGAAAATGTAATATAAATTATATAGGAGATTAATAGTAACAGTTGCTCTCCATGGCTCTCCTTTATGTAGCTCCCATCCTGTTATTTCTACCAAGGTAACTAGTTCTGCAATTGTAATATTTTTATTAAACTGAGTATGTACAATTACAGAAATGCTCTTCATATAAAAGATAATTAATTTACACTAATTCTCTGGAACTCCACCTCAAAACTATTGGTGTAACATCTTTCAGTTTGGGAACAATAACTGGTGCTTTTGCATTGTGAAGGTTTCTGCCATTTGATCACCTGTCTAAAGGAAAATTGAGGGGGAGAAATAAAGCACATGAACATCACTAAGCAATGTTCTTAGGTATAGTGATAATCTCAATTTGCTCCATCAAGTATCAAGCATGAAACATATGATGAGAGTTATATAAGTGGCACAAATGTCATTAGGGGAGTTCTGGAGATAGTGGAAGGAGTGTCAGGCCTGAAGGTTAATTTGGCAGAATGTAGCTTGGTAGGGTTACAAATAGGAGAAAGAGAGCTGGACTGCTGGAGGAGTGTGCTATAGTGTTGGGCTGTGCAATTAGGTGGCCTTTGAAGTACCTTGGTCTCCCCATAGGAGGCAATCCTTGTGATGATTTTTTTTGGGAAGTAATAATTGAGAGATTCTTAAGAAAATTAGATAATTGAAAAAAGAATTACCTCTCAATAGGTGGGAAATTGACCTTGATAAAATCTACTTTACCCAACTTACCTATTTACATCTTGTCAGTCTTTAAACCCCCCATGAAAGTTGTGCAGAAAATTGAAGAATTTATTAGGGATTTTCTTTGGGACCTGGGAAATGAGTAGAGAGATCACCTCTTAAATTGGGAACAAGTTTGCAAAATTAAAGAGAAGGGAGGCCTAGGTATAGGGAAGTTGAAGGAAAAACTGTAGCAGGAGCAAACTCAAAGCCTTAATTCCAACTATTTGGGCAGAAGCAGTGGCATTCGGCATTTGATACCTTATACTTAGTAAGATTTTTTTTTCCATTGTCCAAAAATTGAAATAGGGGTCCAAGTAGATAGACCTGCTGATAGATCACTGATTATCCAGGCAGTAACGTTCATAGTGGAACTGCTAGTACAGGAAAGCCAAGGACCAAGAATACTTGTTACTCAGTCCACTTTCTGATTACTAGTTTAAGTACCCAGTAGTTGCCCTAGACATAGTGGATTGATGGAATCATGTAGCCAACCTCCTATGGTGGGGATGAAATGAAATTGTGTTGAATTGCAATAATGTGAATAGATTGATGTTGCTAATTCACTGTATTAGCTATATGTAGTTTAGTAATATCAAGGAATTGAAGTGTCCCAAGCTATAGATAAAATAGTTGGATCAAGACACTACTCACCTTGACAAGTGGTTATGGAATCTAGAGTATTAGGAGTGAAGTTTGACAGCTTCAAAAGAGTACTTCATTTATGTAATTGAAGAGAATTGGTGTCCTAAACGATGGCAATATACAAACTTGAAATACCCACCGTGGGATTAAATTCATTAGCCGTAGGACAAAACTTTGGGAGTGATTGAGTAAAGGTTACGATATGAAACAAGTATATCAAAAAACCAATTCTGTTCACCTGAGAAGTCAATAATGGAATTTTTTTATTGAGACAATTGATAGAAAAAGTTTGGGGGAAGAGAAAAAAGATCTTCACATGGTATTCATTGATTTAAGAAAGCATATAATATGGTGATTTTGGGAAAAAGAAGGTATTACCAAATAGGTATGTGGACATTAACATTCCTAAGAGCTAGATTTCTTTAGCAGCTATCCCATTCACAAAAGGAGTGGTAATCCGAGTACAATTAGGATTGGGAGGCCCAACTCAAAGTTTTACTTTGGGTCTATTTTTTCTTGGAGGGGAGGAATTTGCAAGGAAACCATTTAGGGAGTTGGAAGAAAAATTCTGTGGGATGACACAGAGTAGGGAAGAAGTTAGAGCAAAGCCAGAACAGGGGAGCTCCACAAGAAAGTTGATGGAAAAACAAGAAGGATTGAGGAGTTCCGTCGATGAAGTAGGTGCCTCTGAAGAAGTTGGAGAGCAGGAGGGAGCTCAAATTTTCAAGAAAAATGTGGTTTTCAAATTAGAAAAATTAAATGATTTCTCCAAGGATGCAGGGATAAATGAGCCAGATGCCTATTGCAGTGAGAAGGTTTAAAAACAAGAAACAACTTTGGGCTGTCCAAGTTTCAAGAGTTTTCAGCAGATTAAGGATGGAACTTCTGGGGGTTATTCCTTCCAAGAAAATAAAGAAATCTGGGAAACAAAGGCTGCATTATCACAATCAAGAAGGGGGCTTTTGAGTGGGTTCTTGTAGGGGTTTGGGTTGAGTATTGGAGTGTTTTTGTTGGTTGGATCTTAAAGGGTTAGGGGTTGTTTTTTTGTTTCATGGGCGTGCTCTGTCGGGGTCTTTTGTTTTGAATGGGATAGTTGTTTTTTCTGCTGAAGGGGATTGTAATAGTTTTGAGTGGGTTTTGGATTTTTGGGTACTGATTTTGGGTGTGATTGGAATGGCTAATGGTTGGCAGAATGTTGGGGTCTGCTTTCTTTCTTTTTGTTGGGTAATATCTTGTCACCATCTTTAGGGGTGTCAACGGTATTCAAAAATCCGATTTCGAATTCAATATTCGACATAGTCGAATCGAATTTGGATAATTCGAATATATAATCGGTCGAATTCAGATATCCTATTCTTACCGAATAGTTAATCGGATTCGAATTCGAGTATGACCTGATTCGATTCGATAAATATCCGAATTCGACCGATTATTTAATTCTTATATACAATATATAAAATATTTTATATAATTTATATATTTATATACTTTATATCAATAAAATATTTATTTTTATATTTATTAATTATCTAAATTAATTAATTAATTGAATTCGAATCGAATCGAATCGAATTGAATATTTAATCGAATTCGGATATAGGATTTTCTAATCAGATTCGAATTCAGATATTGCCTGATCCGATTCGAATTCGATCCATTTACACCCCTAACCATCTTTGCTCTCTCTCTTTTTCTCTTAATATAATTTCTTTTTTATTTATTTTCAAAAAAAAATGGAGGGGATGCATATAGAATCCAATTTAGGGGTGCAACTTAGGCAGCCCTAATACGAGCTTGAACCAACCTAACCCAAAATTTTACATGGCCTAAACCTGGACTTTTTATCCTTGGGCTGGGCCTAGGCCCAAATCCCAAGTCTTTTTTCATATTTTTAGGCTGGCCCAGGAGTAGCCCTTGGGTAGCCCAGCCCAAACTGGACCCAGCATTCAAAGAGGTTTAGGTTCACTTTTAATGCGTTGGGCCCACTAGGCCTAACTTATCAACCTGAACCCAACCCAAGTGTGTAAAATTCTAGTTTCATCTTGGCCCTGGATTGAATATAGGGCTCAGTCTAGGTATGAGCGTTAGGCCCATGTTTCAAGGTTGGGCCTCGATTGACCTTAAAACCAACCTACCACCCAAGTTGCACTTAAGTCGTATGTGATAGGAGGATACCCCTTGGGATAAAAGGAAAATTTAATAAAATGGTTGTAAGGACAGCAAAAATGCAATTATAGATATGGATGAGTGGGAAAGATAGTAATGGTAGGATCAGAAATAAACATGTATATAATATGTAGGAACCTAGGAGTAGCCTCAACAGCCAATGGGTGTACGAGTACTAAGATGGTTTGGTCATTTACAAAGAGGTCATCTATGGCACCTGTGCACCTGTGTGAAGAAGTGATCTATAAGTTGAAGGTCTAAAAATGCACAGGCCAAAAAGGACATGAATTGAAGTAGTGAGAAATGATTTGAAGGCCTATAATTTGACGATTGATACGTCACTGAACACCATGGAAGGGCGGAACAGGTTTTATGTAGCTTAGTTGAGTTGAGTTGAGGGCCAATGTTTTTTTTTTCCTTTTCTCTTTTTTTTTATTTTTGATCAGCGAGTTGAGGACCAATGTTATCCAACTAGATACCCACCAGCTGCATAAACTTCTGCTAGGATCTCTGTAGTCTTTGCTGTGAGATATAGAATCATAACTTCTTGAATTTTTTTATTGTACTTTTTTTTTTTTTGATAGAAGTATAGAACTAAACCAGTTGGACTGGCTAGTGATTTATCCACCAAAAAAGACTGGCCAGGGATTAGGAATTGGTCGTTCTCTGACATGGGCTATTATTAATTTATTACTATTATTATGGTTAAATTCATGTACATTTAAACTGGTCTGTATTTAATTTGCAGGCAACAAAAGCGAAGAGAGGCGGAGGAGAAAAGATCCAGTGAACGGAAATTGGAAAAGAGGTCATGAATAGCTCTGTAACTATAGGAAGTTCAGAAGTTTGTGTGCCCTCTTGGTCATTGAGAGGTACATTCACACATCACTAACTTTTATTTGTACAAGTAATCGGAAAATTGGCCATGTGAGTGAACACCATCGGAAGCAATATATGAAGTTTGGTGTTTCAATGTTAAAGAAAATTGGCCACGTGATGGATCCAGAGAAACTTTTTTTCCTTGTACTGATACTGGATGAAGCATTGTATGCAGCACAAGAAAATTCATTTCCTCTTCACTTTGACGGTGAGGATTGACCACCTGATTTAAATATCAGAGACCTTAAATGATTAAAATGCAATTCCGTTTTCTTGCGCTTTTTCAGCCTCAAATCTACCTTATTGAGTACGTAAGTTCTACCAGCTACGCTGATAAAAGATATATAAAAACAAGTGTTCTACTCTACCGGTCACTGTTGTACCATTGATGGAGATGAAGTCATGCATCGAGTCTGGTACTTTTTCATGCCCATATATTTGGTTCAGCAACCCCAGCCTAGTTTCCTTTTTGGGTCCCATCCTGAGCAATCTTGTATTTGTTCTGCAATAGCAGGCAGATTTATCTTAGGTTCATTCTCGCACTGGCTTGTGGGAACAGTTCGATTCATGTTCTTTCGGGGGTTGGATAACATGGGTTATCATCATCTTTCAAGCCTTTCCCCAATTATACTGGATGACATGGGTGATAATATTAATATATACCAATTGTTAATTTGTTACCCGTTAACGTTTCGTGATAAAAGAGGTTCAGTCTGGCTGCACCTGTAGAGGTAATCGCTTTATAAACATACGAATGATACAATTTCTCAATTACAGACAACCCGTATGTTGTAAATGTATTTCATGACAAGTGTAACGCAGGAGAGATTCGGATTATCTTCAAAAGATGTTTAGAGAAACTGAACATCTTGAATGAAAAGAATCAACTGATGTCGAAACAAACTATGTTTCATGACAAGTCTAACGCAGGAGAGATTCAGATTATCTTCAAAAGAATGAAAAGAATCAACCGATGTTAAGAGAAACTGAACATCTTGAATATTTATTACGGAAATATGATATCAAAGATTGATCCCGAGTAATTTTTCTCCGGGAACCTGGAACAAATTTATTCACTTGCAACTTACCACTTGAAGCTTCTACAGCATTTTTCACCTTCATTAGTTATTTAATTCGTTCTTTAGAAGTATTATGAGACTTAAAAAACGCATCGTTGGATAATAWGTGTAGATCATAGACTGAGCTTTATTCAAAAAAAAGTCTAAAACCATCCTTTATCTAAGCAAGAATACCAAGCCGAAAGAGTAAAAGAAGAAAGGTTAGAATTTGCGCTCCAAATCAGAATCGAAATCCATCGAAATAATCGCGCAATCAAAAGGTCCATTCATCCGAGAACCAGCGGACCCTAAATCGCTGGAGGTGGCAAAAGACAACCAAAACTTCGCCGGGTAACCAATAGACTTCTTACAACGTGATTTCTTCTTCATGACAATTAAGCCAGAAAACCAAAATGAAACCACCTTTTGAGCAATTTTAATACTAAACACCACGTTCTTCGAGTTGAGGGTTACTGAAAGCTCTGTAATTAGCACCCCAGCACCCACCAAAAAATCCTCGGTCACCACAAAAGAGATGCAATAACCAAGGTTCAAAGTATTGACACGTATCAGCCGATACGTATCATTCCGGGACCCCTATAGCGGGTGTATCAGGAGTCTGACCGATTCAGGGTGTGGAGACCTAAGCCGGCCCCCCTAACCTGTTTCAAAAATAAATAAATAAATAAAACATTAAAAAAAGGGTATCCATTCACCCAATACCGACCAAACACCCAATCCTCAATCACCACAAAAGAGATGCAATAACCAAGGTTCAAAATATCGACACGTATCGACCAATACGTAATATTCCGGGACTCCTATAGTGAGTGTATCAGGGGTCTGACCAGTTCAGGGTGTGGAAGAAACCTAAACCGGCCCCCCTGAACCTATTTCAAAATTAAATAAATAAATAATACATAAAAAAGGGTATCAATTCACCCGATACGCCATCGATATTTTGAACCTTGCCAATAACATTCTTGGGTTAACGACAGCAAATATATTCCGATACTTAGACTTCATTTTAGGCTGTGTTTGGTTTTAAGGAAAAAGTATGGAAAGGTGGGGAAGCCTTTCGTTTTTCCCTTCCTTAACCTACCTTATGGAAAGAATGCAGGAGATGCCGAGATACTCGATATAATAGTGCACAACAGCAAAATGTATATTAGCAATTCACTTCTGATTCATTTCTTTAAGTAATCCAAAATCTAACAGAATGAAGTTGAACTAACATAACAAAAAAAAAACTAATATTAATCCAAATAAAGTCCACTCAAAATTCAATCGACAAACAGCAGTCACTGCACCAGTAAGCCCAGAACCACTCTTGCCAGTGCAACTACAAGGAGGATCTCACTTAAGAGGAATGAACCTTGAGGAATGTGTGGCACCAATACCTGGCCTACCATGCTTAACAGGCTTGTAAGAAATGGAGAACTCGGCAAGATAATGGCCAATCATTTCAGGCTTGATTTCAACCTGGTTGAACGTCTTGCCGTTGTATACTCCAATAATGCTTCCAATCATTTCAGGTACTATGATCATGTTACGAAGGTGAGTCCTAACTGGCTCTGGCTTCTCACCAGGTGGAGCTTCCCTTTTCTGTTTAAAAGTTAGAAACATAAAACAAATAATCAGGGGATCACATGTTTTTCTTTCTTTATAATTAATAATAATAAACAATAGTTTACATAATACATAACCCAAGACAAACTCAGAAGGTGGAGAAAACGCTTCTTCCAAAGCTCAACCAACCATGAGTTTCACAGATTTTGAACAGTCTTATGATAATATAAGAAAGAAACGATCCATTATAGTTTTTTAAATCATTTCAGATTAGAAACTCATCTGTTCCGGTTAAAGAAAAGATCTAGAATAGAATACAATCAGTTTGTGTAATCACTAGCACATCAACAGAGGCATTTTTAAGCATTTTATTAAACATAATCTCTAGACAGTTTTCCTGGTGAAATCAAGAAAGAAGACTTTTCGAGTATTAGAGTGTAGACGTACAACAGAGAGAACATGCCCACTAGTTCAATTGGTAAGGCATCTGGCTGGTTGTAGGCATGTATGTAGCGAAGACTTGGTTGGGATCAAATCCCAACTTCACTAAGGTTGGGGAATCAAGGGTTTGCGAGATGGACTACCCCCCCCCCGGTTCTATAGCCCCATAAATAAAAATAGTATAATGGGGGACAAAATATCAAGAAATTTCCTGGTGAAATCAAGAGAGAAGACTATTTTCAAGTATTATAATGTAGACGTACAATGGAGAGAATGTGCCCACTGGTTCAGTTGGTAAGGCATCTGGCTGGTTGTAGGCATGCATGTAGCAAAGACAATAAGATCAAATCCCAACTTCACCAAGGTTGGGGAATCAAGGGTTTACAAGATGGACTACCACCCACCCCCCACCCCCGTTCTGTATCAATAGGGGAGAATATATCAAGAAAGTAACTTTCTAAATACAGGGCCTTTCTACCAAAAACTATAATGATCTTTCAACAGGACTATTTGATTTAGCCACTGGGGATCGTTACTTTGCAGAATGACTTTGCAGATCTCATTGTTGACACCACCCTAATAGATACAGAGAATTGGATTTATCTTGATATTTCATCCTCTTTATAATCGCATCTTTCCTTATTAATATGATTTGCTCAAAGAATGACTTCGTTGGTATTAAAATTTTTTCTAAATGCAGTCAGAGATTTTTAATTAAATTTTTAGGAATAAATGCAACCAAGTTTATCACCATATTTCATCTGTCAGACCTCATATTCTCAAACAGCCAACCCTTCTCTCTTGTCTTCCCCATTTTTCATTGACAGCCAATACCCTCTCTCTCACATTGTTTGAGTTATATTTAAAACTCCCTTCTATTCCCCTTCTCTACTGATTTTGGCAGTTCTTCATTTCTTTCTGATTCAAAAAATAAATATCCAGAGTCTGTAGCAGAGAATCAAGAATGCTATAGCCAATCAAAGAATCCTTTAATTAAATAATCTCTCTCTTTTACAAATAAATTTTTGTAAAAAACCTTTCTAGTTGTTTAGCTTCTTTACCAAATTGTTCTACCATCTTTTCTAAAGGATCAGGAGGCAGGGTTCCAGTTTAGTTTTTCTAAGAGTTTTACAATAGAAGCTACTCCTGTTGATTGATTTCATTTGGGCTAGATCTGTCTTGACTGTATTCCATTTTACATTTTATATTCATATGAGGCTGACACACCATGTGATTTTGTTTTATAAGACTTGCCAGTTATGGCGAAATTTTTGTGCTGTGATAATTTACAGAACTTTGACACCTTACTCCATTATTATTGGTATTCACAATGACCCTTTTGATGTTATACAGAAGTTGTTTCAATTAAGATGATGAGGTATAACTAGACTATGAAAACAATATGTAGAAGGATGTGGTTCCATTTATCTTCGACATGATGAGCTTTGTCCAATATATATAATAGGGGCAGCTATAAGATTACAGAAACGAAGAGGATCCATAGGTGTCATCGCTGAAAGATATTGTTGCACATGACTATTTCAAGGTCGGGTCGGGGGTCAAATACATCAGGCACTATACATGTCATTTATACAGAATTTATATGTGTGTGTTAAATGTTATTTAATTTTATACTATATTGTATATAATGCCTATATCTGATTTCATACACATTGCATGCCATATAACATATAAAACATTGTATACATTTAGCATTTATACATAAAAGATATAGGACAATAATCAGGCCAGGCCCAGCCTGGGCCACTGTATACCCAGGCTAAGTGTCTGGCTTGAAAGCTGGGCCGGTCTGGTCCAGGGCCTAGGATCATTATCACCCTTTGGGAGACTGCCCAGCTGACTAACACAATTATTACATTTCAATAATCACTTACTATTACTTTATTATTTATAATCACTTTAATATTTTTAATCAACTTCTGTAATGTATTTTCATTTTTGAGTAACTTGAAATATTTTTATTACTTTCAAAATTACCAAAACTTTCTATGCCTTTCATTGATTTTTTAACTTTTAAGTATATTATTTACTTTTTTGTAACTTACAATTATTTAACATTTTTAGTAAAATAGATAAACAAATATTAAAATTATTTACTAGTTCATTACCCAAATGATTTATTTGTTATTAATTCTTACATATTCCGATATTTTTAATGAATTTAGTTAAAAGTGCATTAATAAGTATGTGATAAAACAAAATATATAATTTTCAGTGGTATCAACATTCAGAAATACTGAATAAACATATTTGGTGGGGTAAAACTATAAAGAATAAAAATGGACCTAACACTCAGATTACTGAACAGCTTGACTTCATTCAGATATCTAAAAAAAGTAACGCAAACTTTCAATTATCAAAACTCAAAGCTTTTGTACTCCTCAGATATAAAAGTTCAGATCCACTGAAGACCAACTTAGGCTTTTACTGAAGAACAAAAGAAAATAATCCTAGGAGCCTACAAATTACAAATAGAATCACTCATCAGTGCCAAAATTAAGAACCTATTTGTTTCGGTGCAGTAAACTTTCTAAATGAGGCTTCCAACTTAATAATATTTATGTAATCCAACATAAGTTGAACTTTTACATCAAGAAACAAAGTAACAAACACCATATAGAACTCAATTATATGAAGTTACAAACCAATAAAAAACTAGACAAACATGAACCCCTACCTCTTTTATGTTTGAACAAGATTTTGTCCAAAATCATTGAGAACTGAACCTAACCAAAATTAGTTAAACTTCATGACACGAGCATAACAAAGAACTGCGTATTTCACACCCTCCCCCCATAGCTCTCAGCGTAAAACCCCTTAATCATTAACCAACCCTGAGATTTTGCATCCAGAGAATCCTCTCCCATCAATTTTTCATGGAATTTCAATTCTAATGAACTAACTTTAAATAAAATAGGAAGATATAACAATGAAAACTTCTCCAATGTCTTAATGATGTTTCTTTCACGTATGTTCTTAATTATAATTAGAATTACGAAGATACAATTGAATCATTGATATTTCTTCATTGTCTCAATACTGTACATATTTCTTCACCCAACTTCGTAGTGGATTTTCTTTATTGTCTTGATATTTATTCACTGATTGATCTCTCTTTAACTGGTCACAGCAAGTGACCAGTGGCATCTTTCTATGGTCCGTTAACAATTAACCAACCAAACCAGGGGACCATTAACTTCCACCAAGAGGTAAAACCTTGTTCCACACTATTTACACTAAGAATGAGTATCAAAAAGCGAATACAAAATTCTAAATAAAATAAGAAGCTATCATTTATCACTTGGACCCCATAAGAATTTCAGTTACAAAATAAAAGCAATGGATAACCAATTATCGTAATCCAACTAGGATTCTGGAAAGTATTAACAAACTAGATAGCACAATTGCTCCCTGCGGTATTGGCAAAAAACTATCAAGTGAACTACAACATTTAAAAAAAATAACATTCTAGACTAAATGCCAAGCGACTAAGCCAAGTAATGCTCTTTAATGATAACAAGGTAAATAAAACCAATGGAAAAGGATATAAGATACATTTCGCTGCCAAATAAAGTATATCACCAAAATACTTCGGCATAACCAAACAGATCCTCGCGATTATGTTTAGGGAAAGGTGCAAACGTGTATATTTTATCGATCAGTGATCTAAATTATGCAACACGATAGAGAGAACCAGATGCAGTGAGCCATTGACAAAAGAAAAAAAAATGTTTTACCGCCTTGCGCAGCTTCTTAATCAAAGCCATGGGCTTCCTCTTCAGACCTCGTTGGAACCTACGAAGTGAAGCAACAAAGATGTGTGAGGGAGAGGGAGAGAGAGAGAGAGAGAGAGAGAGAGAGAGAGAACCAATGAAAGCTAATTCAGACAAATAGACACCGAACATGTTACAGATCTATAACCCCGGTGCCTTACCTTCTGCGAGCCCTAGCATGGAAGAGCTTCACAAGTTCATCAGTGGACATGTCGAGGAGAGCATCCAAATCAACTCCTCTGAAACTGAACTTCTTAAAGGTCCTCTTCTTCGGCTGCCCTGGAGCGACATCTGTTTCGATATCCGCCTGAGAAAACGAATTAAGCGATGTTAATGAACAAATCAAGGTGTTTGTACATGTATGAATGGCTCTGAATAGCAAAGAAGATGAAGAATGAGCTTCGAACTCACCATGACTACAAACGACGAGAAGGAAGCTGTAAGCGGCAAATGTGTATCACAGCTAGGGTTGCAGAGAACTTAGTCCGTAAGCGTGTGTGTGTATATATATGGTATCGCACCGGATTAGGGCAGTGGGTGATCATGGGCCGGGCCAGGCTTTAAACATATGATAGATCTATTCACGGGCCGGACCGGGTTTTGGCCGAGTTTTGCCGCTTTATTAAAAGAAAATGCTCCAGTCAAGCCCGAGACTGGTCCTTATGTGAAAATCGAAGCGCAGGCCCGCGCGCAAAGCTCCGTTTGGACATAAAAACCCATACCTATGTTGTAATTTAATAAATTTAGCACGGGCGATGATCTAACATCAACAATCCTGATCAGTGAATAAAACCACAGCAGGAGGAAATGCTTATCTTTTAAAATAAATGATCTAACATCAACAAAAGCATGATACAATACATTAGAGAGAAGAGAAAGGAGGGTAATGATCATTTGAAATTAGTAGGAAATAATGATGAGTAAAAATAAACATGTAAAAAATAATAAAAAACAGTTACAAAACCATCACCAAATACTAAAATACTAAAAATCATCACCAAATCATAAAATCAGTAACCAATCATAAAATGGTTGGAAAATAGGTAGGACTAGACCCTTAACAGCATCCTGTACATTAACAAACAACCAAGCACAAAATGCTAAATCTGTGAAGATGTCGATTATTATAAATCATAATATGTAATTAAGTAAAACTAAATGACAAATTTCAGTCAGCAGATTTTCCAATTGCTAATATTCCCATTATAGTAAGAAAAAAAAAAAGCACCATCAACAACAACACAACAGTCTCAAGTTATACATTGCTGGACTTCTTTCAAAAGGAAACATATGTCGATATGATAGTGAAGCAAACCCGTGACATTAGTAAGTTATGAGTTATGACTTGTTAAAGTACGTCTCTTATTTAGAATCAATTCTTATATATTAGCCCATCATTAACTGCCTTTGAACTGGCCAACTCCAACAATATTATTTATCAAGAGAAGTGAATGGATTCTGTTAGCATTTTTTTCTCAGTTGGCATGCATATTTTTTCACAATGTGACAGGTGAAAAAAACAAACTTGACAATCCTAATCAGTTAATAAAACCACAGCAAGAGGAAATGCTTATCATTTTATAATAGATGATCTAACATCAACAAAAGCATGATAAAACACATTAGAGAGAAGAGAGAGAGAAAGGTAAAGATCATTTGAAATTAGTAGGAAATAATGATGAGCAAAAATAAAAAAGACCCCGAACATAACAACACACTGAGGTAGTTATTGTTTGTAGGTTGGAGTCTGAGAAAGGCTACTTGGTGCTAAAATGCCTGAAGCTATGATGTGTCCAGTAATCCCTCCCAATACCCTGAATAGTTGGGAAGGATGCAAGATGGAATCCAAGAGAATTCAGCATTTAGGTATACAACTATTTTCTGAGAGAGTCCAACTATGATATCGAAAAGGCATGATACTTAAAAACCGGTATCATAAAATCAGTAACCAATCATAAAATGGTTGAAAAATAGGTTGACCACTGGTACCTCATTTTCAGGTGGTTTAACAGGCCTTCTTAGTATAGAGAAATAGGCATGCATACCACAAGCCGAGGGAACAACTATGTTTAAGGAAACAGTAGCATACAAAACCAAAAATTGACATAAAAAGATCACTTTGTAGAATAGAAAGAGTTTTTTTTTTTTAAATATCAAAAAGAGCATTTGTAACTTCATATTTTCATATAAATACTAAATCAGGTGATGGTTATTAATAGAGCATGAAATTTATGAGAGGTATGTCTTGGTCTAGCTGTCATTAGTATTGGAAAGCTTATAAGAGTAAATTGACCACCGATACCTCATTTCAAGTGGTTTAACAGGTCTTCTTAGTACAAAGAAATAGACATGCATACCACAAGCCAAGGGAACGACTAATTTTTAAGGAAACAGTAGCATAGAAAAACAAAAAATAGACATAAAAAATATAACTTTGTAGAACAAAAAGAGATTTTTGTTTTGAAAATAACAAAAAAGAGCATTTGTAACTTCATATTTTCATATAAATACTAAAATCAGATGATGGTTATTAATAGAGCATGAAACGGTATGTCTTGGTCTAGTTGTCATTGGTAATGGAAACTCTTATTGGCTTCACCAGTGGAAAAGAGCATTCAGACGGGGAGATCTATCATTTCACTATTTTCTATTAGTATCAAGACAGTAAAATTCCCGAAGAACCAATAGGATAAAGAATCAATGAGATTTAAGTGTGCTAGTCTTCCTTGAAATAACCCATTTCTTATTTGTTTACAACATGCTAATTGCTTGTTTGTAGAAAATATATTGGAAGCAAGAGAATGACATGATAAAATTCATCAATTTGTGACATTATTTGTAGATGTTGAAAAGGAGTATTTAGCAACAGTCAACCAAAACAATTCCAATGAACGGATAGAACAATGGAATTTCTAAATGCTCTTTGAAGAACAAGTACATGGAAACACTTTTAAATACGCTAGGAAAGGAGAAACCAGGAGTGGGGGCATTGCCAATAAGACATGGTTTGTAGAAAATTGCTAATAAAGATCTATTTTGAAAAAAAAGGTAATATAAATTTTATTTAAAATGGTAAGAGCTAGATCATCTAAATACATAGAACACCAACACAGTGATTAATCCATAACCTTACATACTATCTTATTATAATGCATCATTTCATGCTGTAAAAGAAAGCTTATAAGAGTAAATTGACCATCGGTACCTCATTTCATGTGGTTTAACAGGCCTTCTTAGTACAGAGAAATAGACATGCATACCATAAGCCAAGGGACAGACATAGTTAGACTACCAAGAGTGGGGGCTAAGCAGGTGCAGATTGGTTACAACCAATACAACAAATACAACTAAGAAAAGAACATTAACATAAATAATATAATGGAAATGCACATCAAAAGATTCCTTCTTCAAAACCAAAGTATCAATTATGAACACCACTCCTTTTCATATTTCATTACCTACCTTTTCCTTTATCAAAAAGTCTTCTATTTATTTCCTCCCAAACAAAAATCCCTGTAGGGAGTAGAGCTAAAACCAATAAAACATGCAATGATGAATAAAGAAGAAGAGGAAGATGAATATAAAATAAAGAAATATGAGATTTGTTACTGGAAAAGATGAAGAGGAGGAAGCAAGCAAGGAGATGAGGAGGAAGGTGAGCAATGAGAAAAAAAATTTGTGTTAGGAATGAGAAGTGAGGGGGTATATGTAGATGGGAAGAAAAAATAAACCAAAGCAATGATTAGTCATTGCATGGGGGTTCAAAGCCTCTAAGTCGTGGATTGGGCAATTTTTATTCAAAAAAAAAAAGTCTATAATCCATCCAGATTTATTTGCAAATTGAAATAGTTTTAACTTAATTGTTGAGTGGTCAACTAAGATATGTTAGCTGCAAGGCTCAACAAAATGACTATAGCAATTGCCTCTTCAGTTATCGAGAATGTTCAAATGAGTGAACTCTCGCGAATAAAACAGTACAACGAACCTTGAGCAACTACTTGGATCAACACAAATGCCACGTGGATCAAGAACATCAAATAGCTAGAAAGACAATTACAAAACATGTTAGTGAATCTCATGCATGCCAAAAGGAAAAATTGAAAGGAACTAGAAGAGGAACCAAGAGAGAAACCGAATAGACATCTATAATCGGTAAACTTGTTAGTGAATCTCATGCATGCTAGAAGGAGAAATTGAAATAAACAAGAAGAGAAAATCATTAACAACCAAAATGGGATTGTAGTATTGTACATAGAAAACCTATAAAATGTTTTCCAGACATTGAGAGAGAAATTGAACAGACATCTATAATCGGTAATATGATCAAGTGATTTCTATGAATGAATTAAACACAAACCCATTTACCTCATCGAACCCATTTAGCATAAGTGATTTTTTAAGTGAATCCTAATTTAGAAAAGAGAGCAATGGAAAAAAAAAAACATAAAAAAGGTGTTCCATTTCAACAAATTTCTAAAAAAAAACAAACACAAACCCTTAAAATAAATATACCTCACCGAACCCATTTAGCATGAGTGATTTTTAAAGCAAATCATAATTTAGAAAAGAGAATAGTGGACAAAAACATCAAAAAGGTGTTCCATTTCAACAAATCTATACAAATACCTCTGCATCAAAAAATAAATGCATCTGTCATGAGCGTAGAAATCAAGAAAAATACATGTGGTAGAATGAAGAAGCCACTCAAAATCATAATGGGTTCGGTGAGGTACAAATATGTATCCGTTGTGTTGATCCAACCCTGAGCAGCCACTCCAAACCAGAATGAAGAAGGAGAAGATGATGGAGAAGACGGGGGTTTCAGAGCTTCTTGATGCGTGTGGTATTCTCGATGGTACGTATGAGCTTCTTGATGGCATGTATTCTCAGCTACAATAAGATTCCATTTTGCAAAAGGGGGAAGCACCCCTTTTGCTTTAATACATACATACATATATATATATGTTGATTTGATAATAATTTAACAAATCAATAAATTAATATAATTATATATATTATGTAATATTATAGGTTGGGGTTAAGCTCGAGTCAGGCTTATTTGAGATGACAAACTATGCCATAAAATTGAATTCAGATCACATACCCACATGACACTACAACTTCTCATTGAGAACATCTCCCCATGAATGGTAACATGCAAATACGGAGATGTTCTCAATGTACAACTGGAATGAGGTGTGAGTAGGTGTGGGTAGGGTTCTTTACACTAATGGTAAGAACTATAGGCTAGGCTTGTCTCTGAGTGGGAAATCCTTTTAGAGTGCTTCATGAGTATGATTGCCTATATTGCATTATGAAACACTTGATTGGCCAATCCATTCTAGCATTGAACAATGTGTGCCATAAAATCTCTCGTTCTACACACCTCACTAAAACATAGGGGTTTTTACTGTTCAGTCCACCCCCATAAATCTTATCACCACTGTATAGTTAGGGTAGGTGCTAGCTCGGAATTGATGCCAATACATGGGCAAGTATTGGTGTTTAGGTGGAGGTGTTT